TCTTTCACCCCTTTGGGTCTTTACCCTCTTCTATCTCTTCCTGACCATTTCTAGTTCCTATTGTACTTCAGTGCTATTTACATTTATACACAAAATGGCCTGTTTCCCTGGACTTTTAAAAAGGTAGGAGGCTTCCCGTCTTGGTCCCTCCTTCCCCTTTTTGCCCTTTTTTTTTTTTTTTTTTTTTTTCCCCACCTGCAGGGAAATAGATGTTCAGAGTCTTACCTCTGTAGCCCTGTTTCAGCCTAGGCAGGATCAGGACAAGTAGAGCAATGTGATCTTTCATTAAAGTGTGTGGAGTTAGTTAAAATTTCTAAGTTATGCTGTATGTAACTTACATGGTCATGATTAAATGATCAGTTTTCACCCAAAACTGTGGATCTCTGAGGGTTCTGCTAGTAAAAAGGAGAGTCATGACCAGAATAATAGGAAGGCAGGTAGGGGAAATATCTGAATATATTCATATATCAAATATTTCAAAATCTGAAAATATCCTAGAATTGATTGAGCCCAGGTTAAGAGAATAGACCCCTCCACCCCAACCCTTTGCTATTAAGGAGCAGAGGTGGAGGAGAGTAGCGATTCAGGGAGGCTTCTTGGGAGAAGGGCCAGAGACAGCCAGTGTGAGAGCATGAAGGATGTCCTCAGGGTGGTTGTGTTATTTGAGCAAGTTCTTGAATACTATGTAAGAATTGGCCAAGTCAAGAAGGGAATGGTCAAGAGTGTTCAGACTGGGAAGAAGCTCAGGTTAAGGGTACGGAGGGGCCAATAGAGTAAGCAGGAAAATAAGAGGATAAGAGGATTCTTTGGAGGGCTTACTGCAATTACCCATAAGGATGTTGAGGGTCCATGGCCCATGGCAGCTTCCTTGCCTTCCTCAGTGAGAAACAGAAATCACATAGATAGCTGAGGAGCGAGGGAGCTTGAAAGGTTCTGTTTAGAAAGTCTTGGTTTACAGGACCAGCAGATGGCTTAATGATTATGTCACAGGCTCCCACCTAGTCAACTGTGGTTTGAATCCCATACCCAGTGGCTTAAAACACACTCTGGGTGCAGATGTGTGTGCATCCAAGATCCTGATAGAAGAATAGAGGGGAAGGGATTGTAGCATAGCCATCCACCCTTGGGGGTGATTTCTTACTTTCTGTCTTTCTGCCTCTGGTGAGCACATGTGCCCTATAACAAAAGAGAAAGAAAGTCTTGGTTTGCTTCTGAGGAAGGAGGCTATGAAGATAGCTGAGAATGGGATAAGCATTAAGAGTCCTAAATAATCTGGTAGCTGTTGGAGAAACCCAAAAATACTGGATAGTAGAATGCAACTGAGGCTGGAGTGTCAGCAAAGAGCCTAGCTCCTCATTTGTGAGTTTTGAATTACTGCTGTCACTTGCCTCTGGACCCTCTTGGGGATGACTCTGTCCTCCTTAGAACTGTGAAAAGTTGTTAAATTCAGCTCCACTTCTGAAACATCTCAAACTTCCATTTGATACAGAATAACAAGTGGAACACAAATATAATCAAATTTTTTCTTGTGGCCTGGTGAGGGTTCAGGTAGGTGGTGGTGGATGTTCTTGGTTCTTGTGTGAATCTCACCTAGAGTAACCAGTTCTTCCAGAGTTTCTAGGGATAGAAAGGTTCTAGTAAGGCATAAGGAATTGGGATAATAATAATACTGTGTCCCATCTGTGCTCAGTATATTCCATATATTTTTTCATTTAATCCTGGTGAGCTTTAGACTTAGCTAAGTAACTCCCCCAGCATGAAGGATAGCAGACCTCAGGTAGTGAGAAGCAGGGTGGAGGGAAGAAGAACATCAACATACAGTAGAATCAAGACTTGTTGGAGTGATATGGAGGTAATAGCAAGGTGACAGGCTCAGTTGGGAAGTTCTGTCTTGGGAAGACTACAGGGGAGCTGATTTTCAACTTGTTTTTTTTTGGAGCCAATGAGGTCAGAAATGCTGGAGCATATTGGCAAACCAGTAACCCAAGAGTGTAGAAGAAATTCTGGTTGTCTAAGTTGGGGCCTGCCACATAGTGTAATAGTGAAGTACTGTGCATGGAAAGCCAGATCCCACATGGCCAACTGTGGTTCAAGTCCCAGTCCTGGCAACTCGAAAAAGCATGCTCTGTGTTGTGTGCGGGTATGCTCCCAAAATCCTAACAAAATGGAAGAAAAAATATTATGGTGTGACCACGTTTCATTGGAAGGTGAGTGCTTTTCTCTCTTTCTGCTGTCTGTCTGATAAACAGATGTGTCCACTGGCAATTAAATAAAAAAAGTTATGGGACCAGCAGTTGGCGTAATGGTTATTTCGCTGGACTCCCATGTAGTTGACTGCTGTTCGAGTCCTGGACCTGGTGGCTTAAACTCATGCCAGGTGTGTGTTAGTGCATCCCAAGATCCCTAGAGGAGAGTGGAGTAGAAGGGATTGTGGCGTGGCCATCCCCCCTGGGGGGTGATTTCTCAGTTTTTGTCTCTCTGTCTCTGTCTTTCTGGTGAACGCACACGCCCTATAACAAAAACCTCTCTAAAATAAATAAATGAATAAAAATAAATTTTAAAGAGTGAGTTACATAGAGGCCTGAAACTTCTGGAGGAAATAGCTCTTGGGGAAGCTATTTAAAAAAAAAAAAAAAAGCTTTCCACAGTGGATAGAAACGTAGGGATCTGAAGTTCTTTCGTTTAAATAATGAAAAAGGTCCAATAAGACTGAGCACACATCCAAGGAAAATGTAACTTTTGGTTAAAGGGAGATTTTTCTAGCTTTGTCTGGCTGAGGCATCCACTGCCAAGATGAGCTCCTGATCTGGACTGAGACTTTCTGTAGAGAGATGTCTCATACATTTTTGATATATTAAAGATATAAGAAAAATGGCACTTAAAGAATTTCTATTCACCATATGTTTTGGATGATTTCTCTAACTATATCAAGTTTTGAAAGGACTCCAATCTCATATCTACTCACTGGTCTCTTACTCTTAATGAGTTGAACCATTCTCATGTTGACCTTTTTATTCTTCCTGAAATGCTAGCAGTCTGGAGCTTAAGTAATCATTTCCTTTATTCTTGATACTCTCAGAGAAAGCGTCGTGGTGGAACAGTAAATTCTAGACAAGCCCAGAAGCGAACTCGGGAAGCAGCCTCCACCCCCGAAATTTCTTTGGAAGCAGAACCCATAGAACTTGTGGAAACTGGTAAGATTATCAGGGACACCAAGACTTTGGGGTGTTAATGTGCAGTGCAGGAGAACACAAGATGGAGCTAGTCACCTATCTTCCAGGGGGCCTTGTATGCATTATACCCTCCGAGCCTGTTTCCTCATCCTTATCTAGGGATGATAGTAGTAAGTACTTGGGGCATAGAGTTGTCATAAGGCTGAAATGAGTCAGTACTATAAAACATTTTAAAAGGTGCATGGCAGGTAAGCACATGTAAGGGTTAGTTTTTAGAAGCTGCTGTCAGTGCAATCTCAGATTCATCTACCATTCACAGCTTAAAGTAAAATTGAGCAAAAGCAGCTTCCATTGGTACCCTAAGACCTCTGTAGGTTTTCAAACAGCTACTCAATGAGGCGAACCATTCACCCCTCTGGTAATGGGGAACAGCGGAGGTGAGACCTGGGCCTGCTTTTGCTATTTGCATCCCTGATTTGCTTGACCTTGTGAAATACTTGGCTTTTTTTCTTCTACTTTTCATAAACACAAAAAAATTGCAGGGCCACTCCTGTGGCCGAGTGGTTAAGGGAGCTGGATCCCATATGGCAAATTGCAGTTAAATCCCAGCCCTGGTGACTTGAAAAACATAACGAGCATGTTTGCATGCATACCCAAAAATCTCGACAGGATGAGGAAGTGGAAAAGGGATTGCAGCATGACCGTGCTCCATGAAGGAGTGTTTTTTTTTCATCTCTCTGTCTGTCTCTGGTGAGCACAAGCACCCTCTGACAATTAAAAAAAAATTACCCAAGAAGGCAGACTTGTCAAAAGAGCTGCCTCTGTTAAAACTTGGGATAGGCAGAAACCCAATTAGATTTCCCTTCTCAGAAAAGTGTCAAGTGGCCTGGATTTAAGGTCCTCTGCTCTGCATATGTAAAAACTGTTTATAACCAAGACTCCTGAAAACTAACATTTTAAAGAGAATTCACTTGCCAAGGACAAGAAATACGTTCCCTGTACCCCCTGGAGCAGCAAAGTTCTCTGTGTGGCCTCTGAGTAAAAAATTTCTAACAGTGAATTCATAAAAGCTTTGACTTCTTTACTTAGCAACTAGGACTCTAACCCTCCATCCCCAAAGCTGCTACCATCCTCAATTGTGACACCAAACACATATGTCATCTCTTAGAGAACTTAGAATCTCAGACTGGGAAAAGATCCAACTGCTTTGCAGTGCAGTACTTGTCATTTTGTAGCCAGTTTCTCTGCAAGGCTCTGTGCTTAAGCTACCAATTGAAGCACACAGCTTCATTTCCACTATTGAGACATAACTTCCATTAACTGTTTGGCTAAGGTCTTTCCTACCTTCATCTGTGTTCATGTGGACATAATGGTATACCCTAGAGGTCAGGTATACCCTAGAGGTCAAAAAGCAAGCTGCCTAACAGACCCAACCCATTTTGGTGTCTTGGAGTTTTAGGGAACCAACAGATACTACCCTTCTCCATCCAAGTAGGGAAACACTTAAGACATAAGTGAAGATTAAATATGTCCTCCTTAGACTAATTGATGAATTTGCTGAGCAAAGCATGACTTTTAAGTCTTTGGGCCAACTAAGGTGGTCTCCTTCCTCTACTGGGAGAACCAGAGGTTTCAGGCTGGTCCATCCCAAAGAGAGAGACCCTGAGCTGAGCATGCTTGGTGCCTTCTCCCAGATGTCCTATCTTGATGGGTCACTACCCTTCCTCTGTGAAGGAGCAGGTAAGGATACAGAGGCATAGCTGTGTGAATGTGATACCCTAAGAATAGACACTCATGCATACATATAGCTCAATAGTACATCTGTGTGTAACTGGACTCCCACATGGACAACCACAGTTCAAGTCCCAGACCTAGTGGTTTGCTTTTTCACTTTTCCTCTCTCTGGTGCTCACATGACATGCCCTATAGTAGATAGAATAATAATAATAATAATAAATTAAATAAATAATCCTTAACACCGGCAGATGACATAATGGTTATGTTGCTAGTCTCCCACGTAGTTGACTGGGAGGAGGGGTTCAAGACCTGGACCCAGCAGCATGAAATGCACGCTGGGTGCCTGTTTATGTGTGCCCAAAATCCTAAGAGAGGAATGGAGAAGGGATTGCAGCATGGCCATCCCCCCCTTGGGGTTGATTTCTTGCTTTCTGTCTGTCTCTTCAGTGAATGCATACGCCATATAGCAAAACACTCTCCCTAAAGAAAGTACATACATATGTGTGTGTGTATCTTTTAAAAAAACCCTCTAGCGGCAGATTTTAAAAGGGCATTTAGTATATGTCACTGCTGAAAAGAGATTGGTCCTAGAGCTCTTTGCATTGTGTACTTAATTTTTTTTTAGTTTGTTATAAGTCTAAACTATATTTGTAATCATGCTAATAAAGCTTAGAGAGATACTGCTTTCTTTATTCCTAATAATGCCTGTTGGAATGCTTTATTTTGAAGCTGGAGATGAAATTGTAGACCTCACCTGTGAATCTTTAGAGCCTGTGGTTGTCGACCTGACTCACAATGACTCTGTCGTGGTAAGTGTGTATGAGAGTTTATTGTTTCTTGGCTGTAGGTCCCTGGCCAGTGCCACCAACTCAAGACTTTAGTCATGAGTTGTAGATCAAGGCTACAGCTTATACTAAAGAAACTCATGCTTCAGGACCAGCAGTTAGCATAATGGCTATTTTGCTGGACTCCCATGTAGTCAACCGCGGTTCAAGTCCTGGACCCAGTGACTTAAACTCAAGCTGTGCACATGTGCGTGGGTGCCCAAGATCCTGAGAGGAGAATAGAGGAGAAGGGATTGCAGTGTGGCCATCCCCCCAGAGGGGAGATTTCTCACTTTCTGTCTGTCTGGCAAGCACACATGCCCTATAGCAAAAACCTCTCAAAAATAAAAGAAACTCATGCTTTTACAGACTGAACCCCAGAATGAGAAATAATTCAAGAAAATAATTTACTGTGACTTTCTTACCTGTGGAATATAGATCTCTGTGACCCTGACCCTTCCATAGCCAAACACAAAAGTGGTTTGGGAAAAATCTCAAGGTCCCACATCTGTCTTCAGTCTGTGATTCTACAGTTTTCACCAGTGTGACCTTGAGCATGTTACTCAGCCTTTTTTACTTCATCTATAAAATGGGGATAAATAACTTATTCCAGGATACTTTGAGAATTGAAAGAAATAATTATTTTTTAAATGTAATTTTATTTATTTTAATTTGACCAGAGAGGGACAGAGTGAGAGAGGAGATAGGTGGAGACAGAGAGTGCAAGCAAGCCACCAGGTCTGGGACTTGAACTGCAGTCGGCTATGTGGGAGTACAGCACCTTTAACTACCATGCCACCTGATAGCCCCCTAAAAGAAAATTTTTTTTAATTTGAATACCTGGCCACCTAGGTGGTATCCAGTCATTGTGCGTTTATGCCTTCCCAGCTGAGGGAAAAGGGAATATTTGTTCAGCACTGCTAATGAAAAATCTCTTAAATACCTAAAACACCTGTCAGTTAACATGGTCCCAGGAGAATGAAGGTGCTCTGCATTTACCTTATGATATCTCGACCGTGTCCTGACTCAGGGAGTATGGAGCCAATGGACAAGCAGATTCCTGGGCTCCATCTCCTTCCATGGTACCACTTGTAGACTCAGAGGGAATGCGAATGTCCTTTTAGCAGCCTGTGAGGAGTGAGATCAGGTCTGATCAGAAGGCAGGTGGAGAAGTTCTGGTAGATACCTCTTCTGGGGAACAGTACACACTACGATTCGGGAATCTGGTTAACCCACTGATAGGCCTCCTACAGGCAGGTTTGCCTCTCTTAAGCACTTTTCGATAGTGTGCCAAGATTGCAGTTTGCAGAATAAAAGTACTGGCACCTTTGATACTATTGGACAAGTGGGTGACAGGTGCTGCTGAGGAGGACTAAGTGGTATAGTGGATAGGGTGAAGATTGCTAGTAGCTAAGTCTTCCTCTTGGCCTTGAGGCTCCCTGGCTTTGAGAATATCCTGACTGATTAATGCCAGGCTATCAGAACAAGGTACAAACCATAGGTGCTTTGCTTCCTGTCTGTGCTTAGAAATGAAGAACTGAGTTGTACTGAGAATCTGCAAGACTTCTTCAGGACCAGTTTTGTGGCCTGGTGATTAAGGCAGCTAGATCCCACATGGCTGACTATGTGGTTTGAGTTCCACATACAATAAATCAATAAATTTAAATAAAATTATTTAAAAAAATTTTTAACCGCTCTGATGGTTGTCTAGGCAGCCCATCATTATTTTTAATTTGCATTGAAAAAAAAAGAATTTGCATTGTTCTGATTATTAATGGAATTAAACAGCTTTTCATGCTTGTTGATGGTTTATTTTCCCCTTTGTGAAGGGCCTGTTTGTACAACTTTTTTTTTACCCATCTATTGAATATAAATTTCAAAAAGAGCTGAAGAAATTGAATTAGGATAAAGCAACTTATTTTGTCTCTTTTTTTTTTAACAGCAAATACTGTGTTCTGTTTGCTTTTCTCTTTGGCTGTCTGCCTTTTCCTGATTTGTATGAATTCTTTATAAGTTGTAAATATGAGCCTGCCATTTTCATATCTTGTGTAACTTTTACTGAAGAGGCTTGTCTTTTCTGGTTTTGGTATCTGTTTGTATAGAGACTTGTAATATAGCTGAATTTATCAATATGTTGATGAAATTGTAGTCCCATAAAAAGATATTCCTAGGGGCTGGCAGGTGTATGGTGGTTAAGGGCGCTGGACTCTCACATGACTGACCATGATTCGAGTCCCGGACTTTGCGGCTTGCCCCCCGCCCCCTGTCCCTCTCTCGTCAAATTAAAATAAGTAAATTGATTAATAATTCCTTTTAAAGTTTTTTTGTTTTCTTTTATATGTGTGTGTGTGTGTGTGTGTGTGTGTGTGTGTGTGGTGTTTTTTGTTTTGTTTGTTTTTTTGTTTTTTTGTTTTTTGAGAGGTTTTTGCTATAGGGCACATGCACTTGCCAGAAAGATAAAGACAGAGAGACAGAAAGCGAGAAATCACCCCCACCCTCCCCCCGAGGGATGGCCATTGCCATAATCCCTTCTCCTCCATTCTCCTCTTGGGATCTTGGGCACGCACACACACGCACCTGGCATGAGTTTAAGCCACCAGGTCTGGAACTCAAACCATGATCGGCTACATGGGAGTCCAGCGACATAGCCATTATACCAACTGCTGATCCTCGTTTTTGTTTTTGTTTTTGTTTTTGTTTTGAGAGAGAGAGAGGAGCGTTTTGCTATAGAGCACATGCTCTCACCAGAGAGACAGAGACAGACAGAAAGCAAGAAATCACCCCCCCCCAGGTGGTGGCCACACCTCAGTTCCCTTCTTTATTCTCTTCTCGGGATCTTAGGCATGCACACACATGCACCTGGCATGATGTTTAAGCCGCCAGGTGCAGGACTCCAACCACGGTGGTCTATCTGGGAATCCAGCAACATAACCATTATGCCATCTGCTGGTTCCCCAAAAAATGGTTTTAAAAGAATTTAAAAGATGTTCCTATATTTCAAAAGTTTTGCTCTTTGCCTTTTACATTTAGGTTTATAGTATACATGAGTTGACTTTTGTGTATAGTTTGTGATGGGGGGTCTTAGTGTTTTTGTTTATTTGTTTTAATCTAACAACTCAAATCATCCCTGGGGAGAGTAATTTCTCACTTTCCCTCTCTTTCTTTCTGGCAAACACACACATCCTGTGGCAAACACCTAAAAAAAAAAAAATCACGTTGATTTTCCTGGAGTCATTTTGTTTGTTTGTTTCCATAGGGTACTAGTAAATTGTGCTGTTTGTGTTATTCTCCATATCCTTCCTAAGCTTTTGTTTATGAGACTCTTAAGGAGCTACCCAGTGGAGGCTTTCCTGTAGGCAGGGACAAAGCCCTATCCATCTCTCTGTTTGAGTGTAGTGAACAATACAGTAGGTGCACAGTAACTGTTGGAATAAGTGAGCCCGTCTTATTATACCTGAATAAAGAAGAGCTCAGACATCATATCCATTCAAGAATTAGGAAGGTCCAACTACTATGGCACGGTGATAATGCAAGTGCCCTACAAGGCTGGAAGCCATGTGGCTGACTACACTTTCAGATCCTTGTGTTGGCCTGGAAAATATGCCAAGCATAGATGCCTCGGATTCTGAAGAATTAAAGGGTTGGGAAGAGGATTGCTAATGTATGCATGTTATATCATTAAAAGTAATAATAATAATTACAAAAAGAATTTAGGAAATAATTGTGTGTGGAGACTGTTCAACTAGAATATTATGGTCAGCACCAGCCCTACGGTCAGCACCAGCCCTACCAATGGTGCAAGTAATAGTGATCAGTAATTGCATGATATGTGTTCTCTCATGACGAGGTGATCTGAAGCTCACATATGCTTGAGAAGCCTGAATGGATTTCATGTGGCTGACCTGGTATGACTTCTGTAGGTCTCCATTTTACCTCAGAATGCTTTGACCTATGGTTTATTATTTTCCATAGTGGAGAAAGAAAAAAGCAAGACTAAAGGTAAAATAGAATAAAATTGTGAGTTTGTAATTATGGGCCAGCTTGCCATAGTTGTAACTAAACTCTTCAGGAGACTAGTTAATTATTATTTTGGCTTCTTACTCCTTTTAAAAGTCTCTCAACCAGATTAGAAGCCTCAGAAGCTTGTGCTACATCTCTGTGGGCTCATCTGGTAGACATTTATATGAAGCCCTGGGGGATAACTGTATTCATCACCCATGCCAGGAAATGCTGCTATCTCAGGATTACAGCTGTGAGATAGGTACTTGCAGAGCACTTGAGACACCTGCAGAGATTCTAAAATGTGATGTTCACCTGTTCAGTAGAAGGAATACCAGTAATAAATACAGGCATGGAACTGGTAGGCCAGACTGTGGTGCTGTTTTTAATTGCCCTTTGGGCAAGAAGCCTTATCCCAAGCTGTTTTTCTCTTATCGAAGGTAGGAACAGTTTAAGGTCATCACCAGTGAGAAAAATCAATACCCCCCTGGAGGAGAGGGAATGGGCATGCTGCACTTGCTTCTTCTCTATTCTCTTGGGATTTTGGACACACATGTGCTCACAGTGATTTTCAAGTCGGCATGGGTCCTGGACTTCAACCTCATAGTTAGCCATGTGGGATCCAACTGCTTAACCCTCTATGCCACCTGCTTGCCTGTGGGTATATGGGGAGATTCTATGGCTACCTTGTCTTTCATTTACCAGTGATTATGTATAGAGGACCTGCCATATACTGGGAGCCTCCTGGGCCCTGGGGCTATGAAACCTGTCTACCTGCTGGGGGTGTTTATTGTTTGGAATAGCTCTGAGTGTGACACTGCCCAGAGGTGAGCTGGGTCTAACTCATTGGGAGCCAGTGAAGATCCAGTTCCCAAAATGATTGCTGGGAAGCCAGGGGTGTGTACCCCTTTAGGAAAGGGTGATAAGAGCAACATTGGAGCTCCAGAAAGCCAGGGTCATCCCTACCTACAGCTAGAATCTGTTACCAGCTAGATTCAGGGCTTTCCTAAAGGGCCAGCATTATTATCAGAGCCTCCTTTTCTGGGTTCCCCTGCTTCTAGACTTCATGTGGCTAGCACCTTGTGCTACCCCAATTTTCCTTCTGATAAATATGGTCTTGGTGATGAAGTTGACTGAGTTTTCCCAAATTTACATAGTTGCCCTCTGCAGTCCCTCTGGGAAGAAAGGGGAGTACATTGTTCCACATGTGTGGATTATTTTCATCTTGAAAAAGAGAGACTTTCATATGATTTTATTTTTATTTTATTTTTTAAAAGAATTATTTACTTAATTTTATTTATTTATTCATTTATTTTTAATATGACCAGAGAGAAACATGGGGGTTGGGAGGAATGAGAAAATATAAGCTACCAGGTTCAGAAGTCGAACTGTGGTTGGCATGTGGGAATGTCTAGCACCTTAACCACATGCCACCTGCTGGTCCCTCATACGACTTTAAAAATACATATGCCCATGGGCCAATAGATGGCATGGAGGTTAAAGCAGCTGGATCCCACATGGCCAACTGTAAGGGTCGAGTCCCAGACACATGTCAGATTGAAAATCATGCTGAGTGCATATGTGTATTGTAGTGTGGCCATCCTCCAGAGGTGGTTTCTTACTACTCTAGTCTCTCTCTCTCCCTCTCTCTCTCTCTCTGTCAAGCCTACATGATTTATAGCAAAAACTTTTAAAAGAGAATGGGGGACTAGCAGATGGCATAATGGTTATGTTGCTGGACTCCCATGTCGTCGACCATGGTTTTAAGTCCTGGACCTCATAACTTAAAACTCACTCCTGGCACGTGTGTGTGCATGGCCCAAGATCCTGAGAGGAGAATGGAGGAGAAAGGGATTGTGACATGATCATCCCCCCTGGGGGGATGATTTCTTGCTTTCTATCTGTCTCTGTCTCTCCAGAGACTGCTCATGCCCTATAGCAAAAATCTCTCACAAAAAATAAAATGGGGAGGGAACCAGCAGTTAGCGTAATGGCTATGTCGCTGGACTCCCACGCAGTCGACCGCGTTTCGCGTCCC